GTTTTCCATGGGGTTGAGATCTGGAGACTGGCTAGGCCACTCCAGGACTTTGAAATGCTTCCCAGAATGTGTTGGTCCTTTGAATTACACGTAGTCCCCAGGTTAAGAATGCCTGGGTTACAGACAACCCATAGTTAAGAATGGAGTCTATTGTAGCAAAATTTGAGTTAAATACAGTGATTCGAGTTAAATACACAACGGTTTGAGTTTGTTACACAATACTACTTATATAGTATTATACAATAATCCTGTTCCGGCTTACATACAAATTCGATTTAAGGACAGACCTTGGGGACAGAACTTGTTCTTAAACTGGGGACTACCTGTACATCAGCCTCTGATTGACAACAGGTATATGTGTCCGTAGATCTGTACATACACATACTTGTAGATAACTTGGATGATCAAGCAAGTTTTGATTTTGAGCAAACCTTCGTACATTTGACCTGAACATAGTTGCCCTATATGCAGCCCAAACTGATTAATGTTCACTGGGTTTGATTTCTGTCTCGCCAATGTTAAGCTCACTCATTCGTTCTTTAGTTTCTGCCTCTTTGTATCTGCCTCGAAAAGCTTGGTTCCTAAATGGTTTCTCCGCTTATTATATATATTTTTTTATTTTGATCTCTTTCTTCCCCAATCCCTGTTTCCTTCCTTTTAGATGGTGAAAGTGTTCTTTATCGCTACGGGCTGAAGGATTTGGTTACAATCCTCTTCTACATCTTCATAGCAATCATTCTGCATGCTGTGGTGCAGGAATATGCACTGGATGTAAGTCTTGCATTGTGCTCAGTAGAAAATCTAAGATGGGTGAATTTTTGTACAATACCCCCCTGCATTTCTAATCCTGTGTTACAGCTGAGATTATAAAGTAACTTTAGCCTTTGTTTTACATTCAACTTTATTAAAGCATGGGTGGGCAGATGTGAATTTGCCCCATCTTGAATGTCCTTTTAGCCTATCAGATCTTTAAATCTTTTTCTTTTTTCCTTTCTTTCATATTTCTCCCTTGCTTGGGGTAAAATCATTTTTCTTCTAGGCATGTCCCTGCTTGTTGGAGGGAGTGGGAAAGCTTTTCTTCTCTCCCCACCCCATTTGATGGGAGAGGAGAGAATTTCTAGTTACTGCCGGTATTTGCAGGGTCTTGTTTTCTCCATCCTCTCCATGAGCTGGTAGCAAAGATAGCTTGTTTGACTAGAGGGAGGCAAAGACCATTGTGAGCTGCTCCAAGCACCTTCTGGTACGTTTGGCTGTAGCTTAGAGGCAATTCTAATATCCAGCAACATCTGCTTATTTCCAAGTGAAAGGGGGAAGAGTTGCCACTGTCACCAATGATGAATGCACCTGCTTTAGAGAAATGAGTTTTCCTTGTACATCCTTCTCCAAAACCCTACATAAGATTCTCTCCCTGTCTCAGGGAAGCTGGGGTGAGTGGGTGGGGAACCCTGTTTCATTTTGCTCAGGAGAATGGCCAGCAGCAGTAATGGATGCTGAGTTGTAAGCCAGGTTGAAATGCATGGGACCCGCGTGTTAGATCCCCAGGTCATTTCACTTGATTTTCCTAGGCTGTATACTCAAGCTCTGTTCATGCTTCTTCCCTGCCTCCTGGTTTTTAAAAATGCATTGCCTGACTAAATGTCTGGAAGAACTCGTGCCTTTGTGTTACTTTGGAGGTCCTAATGAAGGCAATACTTAGCTATTCATTTTGAGCTTTTTTTCTTTGTGGACTAGCATGGCTGGGATTGAGTTTTATGCTTTTTTATGGGAAATGGTGTGGAATGTTTGTTTTTCTTCTGCTTTTATTGATTTCTTCTTTTCTTCTAGAAAATTAACCGTCGACTTCATCTTTCCAAAATCAAGCACAGCAAGTTCAATGAATCTGGACAGCTGGTAGCATTTCATCTTGCCTCTATGGTTTGGTGCTTATATGTAATAGTAACAGTAAGTTGCCTTGAGCTTCTTTCTTTCTTTCTTTCTTTCTTTCTTTCTTTCTTTCTTTCTTTCTTTCTTTCTTTCTTTCTTTCTTTCTTTCTTTCTTTCTTTCATAGAAACTTTGGTAGTAAGACCCAGTAATGAAGAATGCTACACACTTTCTTTCTACATAAGTGGCTGTTGATAATATGCAGAAAGAGACAGGATATGATTGGCTGTAGTCTATATCAGCTTTAAAGACATAATTAGAAAAGAACTGAACTTTCATCTTTCACAACATTAATCTGAAAATTAAAGATAACATTTCTTTTTTAGAACAATAAAAGCAGGCATGATCTATTGATTGAAGGAGTTCTTCATACCCAGTGAAAATATTCCAGATCTGTAGGTCTTTTGTTTTTGTTTTAATACTTACTGGTTGGCTTTTTCCCCCAGTATCAGATATGGTATTTTAGACCCAAATTTAGCTTGCAGTAAATGTCAAAAATCCTTTGCAGAACTTTGCTGAATGAGGATTTGCAGATTCCATGGAGACTCTACAGTAACAGAGGCTTGAATAGTCTTCTGTGTGGGAACAGTGATGAATTTGAGGAGAATGTCCATCTCCTGCATGGAGATTGGTTTTATTTACTTAATTCAATTTAGGCACCACCCAACTCCAAACTGACTCTGGGCGGCTCACAATATGTGGTTTTCAGAAGTTGGAAGCAGACATATTTTTAGCTCACCCAGCAATAGGATGTGAAGAAATCATTTTAATACATCAACGTGAAACCTTTTTGGCATCAGGGATTGTACTGAAGTGTGTGGAATATGTCAGGAGCTATAGAACATGGATGGGGAAAGTGGAGGAAACAGAGCAGTGAGTAGAGAGTAAGATCAAAAGTGTTAAATGCTGGGAAAAACGTGAGGAGTAAGGCAGAAAAGCAACACAACAGCAACAGAAAGCATGTCAGTAATTGCAAGTTGGGGAAGATGGGAAAGATAATGTTAAGGGTGAGTTCACAGCATAGCAGATTTCTATCAAGGGAAGCTTCACTGTTAAATTCCCACCACTCCAAAATTAATGCCATATTACCAGGTCATTGAAAGTTGGTGGCAGTTTTTTGAAGGGGACTCTGAAGACGCTAGTCAAGAATTGTAGTCCTCTTCTTTGACTGACTATTATGATAAACTTTAGCATGGTTCTCAAAAAGTAATTAAAATAGTTTTCTTGGAGGTGTGTGTTTGGATCCAAAGCAAGAAAAGTACTTCATCATAGGCAGGCTTCTTTTACCTTTTGGTAATGTCTTTAAGAAGCTGTGCCTTTCTGTGTTCAGTGTAGTCCCAGAAAAATATAACATATTCATGTTAAGGAGGCATTAACGTGCCAGTGCTGGATCTGAAGTACCTTCTACTTTGGATGCAGATTTTACACATGTCTTGTCATAGAAGTGTCAAATTGGGTTGTTGGATGGAGTTCAGCTGGTTTTAAATCTTATGAACATATCTTCCCCCCATCCTAGTTATTTTTGCATCTTATACTCAAGAGTGAGCAAATGTTCCAATGAATTAGGGATTAAAATATTCAAGTTCTGTCCAAATATTCAAAAGTTTGGTGGCAGCGGTGTGAACTAAGCATGCTTTCAGTTATTAATGGTAATAGGAATCTCATTTGGTCCAACTTCTTGAGCTTCTTGAGATAAGTGGGTTGTATATGATAAATATTTTTGTTACAAGCTAATCTTCCTGTTGAATTAACCAAAATGGACATTATCCTGAAATTGTATTCGTAAGTAACAGTCATTCTATCTCAAAGAAAGTGCACATAGCCTCACTTCTAGAACTGTATGGTGGGTTTTTTTATTTTGTTTTGTTTTGTTTTTCCCATGTTTGTAGGGCACCAAGTTGGGAAAAGCTGATTTTGGTTTGCCATGAAATCTGACAATTTTTGGAAAAACATTTGTTGAGAACTGATGAGGCTACAAGAAATAATACAGAATAATTGAATCACTTTGTCTGAATAATTTCGGGTCTTGTAATCTTAATGGAAAATAGCTGCCAATGCATTTCCACAAAAAGCCAGTTATTCTAAAAGACTTGTTCCAGAATTATTGAAAGAAATACAAGAATTAATGTTATGCATACTTCCAATTTGGATAAGGCAGGAAAGAAGCATCTGTAAAGATAGAAAGATTGTGCCAGTGGTAAATGCAAACAAAAGAGAAAAAGGAAGTGAAAGCAGAGCATTTTTATTCATTAAGTAAAACTTCCTTCATGTTAAACTCAGATTATGATGACTTCATGAATGTGTCCATGAGTTTTCTTGGCAACAGTATAGAAGTGGTTTGCCACTAGTACTTACTAGGGTGTGTTTTTCATCTCCCTATCTATCCTACAGCCCTAGGATTTTCTGATGACCTCCTATCCAAGTACTAACCAAGTTCAAACCTGCTTCACCTTTCAAGATCAACCAATTAGTTATATGCTGCTCTGTCTAACTGCCTGTCTGTCTGTCTAATTTATACAGCTGCCCATCTCACAAATGTGACTCTGGGCAGCATACAATAAAAGCAGAACAATAAAAACACATCTTTAAAGCACATCTTAAAATAACAATAAAAACAAGAAACATGGATACAGTATAGCCGAGGAGAATGTTTAAGAACTCAGACATAGTAGAGTCACCTCGCAGGCTCCCTGGTCCAGGGGATCTCCAGGCCTGTTGGAAGAACCATGTCTTGAAACTTATCCAGAAGGCTGATAGTAGAAACTCCTAAAAAACTTACAGAAGACCAAGGTATTTATGGCTAGGATACTTCCAAACACTTCACACAGTGTTTCATCTCTCCTTCCTTAAAGCTGCTTCTCGAGTCTAATTTTCTGAAGCTTCCTTCCATAGATTTGTCTTCACTTTCTCTCTGAAAGGGAGATGGTAACTATGTGAAAATGTTCTAGCCGCAGACAGAACATTCTAGGAAACTGAGGAATATTCTGTATTTTCCCAGCCATATGAATCCAGCTATTCTGGTGGTGGTCCATAGTTTTCGAAAAGTAAATCTTCCAGAACACAAAATGTTTCATAGTAATATGTGGTCTAGAAAATTGTTTTTGTTTTCATGGTAATTCAGACTGATAATGGCATAGAAATGTTTCTGGAATTGCTGGAAAAACCTGTGCCAAATTAGAAACAACTATTTTGAACTCTAAATTGAGCATTTCAGCTGAAATATTTCAAAATCAAAATGTTTTGTACACCTCTACTAAAATCCTTCAGCATTTTAATTCCTACTTTAGTGGCTGAAATTAGACTACTCTAGTGGTATTCCTTCTACCCTTCACTTTGTGATGGAAGCCTCATTATAGAACCTTTACTATCAATTGATTTCTATTTGATTGCCTAGTTTGAACTGTGGGACTTACCTGTTATATTTATAGCATTGGCCAGTGTGGACTGCTTTTGATTCTACAGCTGAGCAGGCTCAGGTTTTCAATTATCGTTATGAAATATGGAAGCGCCATCAAGTATATGCCTTCCACTCTCTACCTCTAGTCCCTGGACTGCTGTATAAGACCATCATGGTTTCTGCTCATTATAGTGTCATAATGATGTTAGGGTTGCCTTGATAGCATAATTCCTCTGCTTGGTAGGAAACTGTTTTGGTATCTCTTGATATTCTGCATCTGACACTATAGAACAAGGTTCCTCAACCTTGGCAACTTTAAGACATGTGGACTTCAACTCCCAGAATTCCCCAGCCAGCATATGCCAAGGTTGAAAAACCCTGCTATAGAATATTGGGAAGACCCTACAAGTTAAGGCCTGTAGGACCTTCTACTTGTACAAGCCTTGCCTGAACTCTTAAGAATTCACTGCAAGTCATGAGTGAATAATACTGTTTAAGTAAACTGCAAGGAGTTTTTTAGGTAAGTTTACTTACCTGATGAACAACTGGAATTTTGCTCATGCTAGTCCTCTGTAATTCATTGGATGCCAAGCTGGAATAGAGGCCTACATATGTGAGGTGTATGTAATCCCAAACGTGTTAATTCTTCCTCCTTCCTCATTTTGATATATATTGATTCCATACAGGTACTCCTTGCTTACTGACAGTAATTGGGACCAGGAGCTCTGTCACTAAGCAACGTGGTTGTAAGGCATGATGTCACACGATTGCACCAGTTTAAAATGGCAGTTCCAGCAGTCCCAGTTGCCATCATTAGGCAAATCCCACATTGTTCCAGTGTCCTGTGATCACGTGATCACTATTTGCAACCTCCTGCCAGCTTCCCCATTGAATTTTGTTGTTGAAAACCAGCAGGGAGGGTCGCAAATAGTGATCACATGACTGCAGGACACTATGATGTAATGGCAAGCTGATTGCCAAGCACTTGAATCACGATGATGTGGCTGCAGGGATGCTGCAATGGCCGCAACTATGAGGACCTGTTGTAAATCCCCTCATTCAGCACCATCATAACTTTGAACGGTCGCTGAACGAGTGGACATTAAGTGAGGACTACCTGTATACTGCACTTTGATGAGCTAGTTGGACATGATATTTGGATACAGGTGAAGAGAATGAGCAGAGATGGCCTTGGCCTCTCTCTTTTTTATACATGAGCACTATTTTGCCAGTTTTGTTGGCAGCCAAATGAATGAGAGAAATCTATGTTTATTGGTTTATTAAGCTTGGCAACCTCAAATAATTCTGATTTCTTTTTCTGATTTTTCACTAATTATTTGATGCTGTGTAAAAACACTGGTAAGTGTTTTTGGCAATTGCTGGGACAACCACTTTAAACCCAGCTATTATTACAGTTATTATAATGCATTTATTATCATTCTGTTTCTTGTTGATTTAATTACTTGGAAGTGATGCTTTTGAGAGGAACAGCTGAGCTTCCAAAAGTGCTTTTAAAGAATGAAGGAGGGGGGAGTGTCTGTCCTTTGCTTTCATTTCTCACACCTTCCAGTCCATCTGCCTTGAGAGCAAACAGGGTGAATGACTTTTATTTGTGGGTTTTGTAAACCAAGCTTCTCTCTTTCTGCTCTTTCCAAATGCCACCCATTTATTCCTAGATGTCTTAACTAGGGCCTCTTGTTGCCTAAGAAATTGGTTAAAGCTGTTACTCTGCTTTAACCCTGCAGGTTATGGAGCCATAAAGTTGGCGAATTGGAATTGCTTCTTTAAACCCTTCTGAGTTTTCTCAGTCCAGTTTTCAGCAGATAGTTTCTGGCTAATTCGGTATCTACATTTCCGATCATTGTTGGGTTTTGCATTTTTTTTTTCAGTTTCTGTTCTACCCTGATGGAAACCTGTGTTTGTAAAGTAGAAAGAGGCACTAATGTGTTTAGCTCCTACTATCTTTGCTTTCTAAGAACAGAGTCATAAGAGTGTGTGAACCTCTTTGCTAGATGAAACTGTGGGTCTTTCTATTCCCACATTCTCTGTTTAATAGATTCCAACCAGATGTATCAGGCTACTCAAAAACGGGGCTTGGAGTTAATAGCCATCCCCTTTCTTGGTTTCCAATGGTAATTTGTTAGAAAAATGCTACTTGTGACAGTTTCATTGTGCTATCAGAACAAATGATTGATGATTGTAGAATTAATAAATTTCACTTTATTCCTCCCTGGTTGATTAGATTTCTTTTTCTAGCATCTCTATTATGAATTTACATGATGGTCTTAAATATAGTGTCTGGAGGCATCAATGTCCCTCCAGACATCTCCCTTGGGCCTACCAGGTTTCCAATCCACCTGACATGTTATTAGAGACGTGCAAAATATTCCACATGGGAATATATAATGTTCTGGAGTTTTCTTCTGGAATAGGCCATTGTGTGCATTCCATGGGTAGTTCATACTTTTCCAGAAATGGTTTGTTTGGAACAGGAAGTGGCTTATATTCCAAAATGAACTCTTCTGGGGCTGCAGTATGTCTGGAACACATTAGACTATGTCCTGTTCTGGAACATCTACTTCCAAAAAACCAAGAGATAGCTCTGCAATGCATAGATTGGCCTATTACAAAGGAAAAACAGCATATTATAGAGCTGGATTTCTTCCTTTGGGAACATTTACTACATAACTAGTTTTGAATGGAAAGGTAGCATCCTGCAGAAGAAAGCAGTATTTAGGAGTATCTTTACTTCCAAGAATGCCATTACGTTTTCCAATAACTTTTTCCAAGAGACCCAAGTTGGTGTAGTGGCAAAGGTGCTGGCCTAGAAACCAGGAGACGGTGAGTTCTGGGCTTCCCATAGGCATGAAACTTAGCTGGGTGACTTTGGGCCAATCATCCTCTCTCAGCCCAACCCACCTCACAGAGTTGTTGTTGTGGGGAAAATAGGAGGTGGGAGTATTAAGTGTGTTAGCCACCTTGAGTTATATGTAAAAAAGGTGGGATAAAATAATAACAATAAGAAGGACACAAAGTGATGGCCAACTGCAGTCTGTTGCTTTCTTTTCGAAACATGCCTATCTGCCCAGCAAAAAGGGAAAGGCAAGGTAAGGAGAATTCTGCAGAATGGGATGAGGGCTAAAGGGGAGGTGACAGGGAGAATTTTAATAAATGCTTTGGAAATGATGTTATCCTCATTGCATCCATTTTGTGAATGGGAAAGCCTTTCCAGACTGGCTGTTTTGTGAAGGTTCTCATAAAATGGTCTCATAACACCAAATTTGCCCAAAGCCCAAAACTTTGGAGACCTCTCTTCTACACTTTTTAAGCAGCATATGTAGTGACACAGAGAAACGAGATTGGAGGGAAAAGAGGAGGAATAGTGGTTATTTTAACCCTTTCCCATCCTTGGAGGTATCCTGTACCCTTTGCAGATACTCCTTCCCTCCTTATTTTAACCCTTTCCCATCCTTGGAGGTAACCTGTACCCTTTGCAGATACTCCTTCCCACTACATTGTTTATATGAGTGATTAAGATTATAAAGTAGCTTGGGAAACTGTTACTATAATCTAAAATTAAGTTTTAAAATATGGTGCAGTGAGCCTTCCCCAAAATGGATTCACCTCATTTTTTTTTTTAAAGAAACTGAGTTTACTTTTAAACCATCCAATAATAGGAATTATCAGAGAAAAGAATAGCATATTCATCTATGAGCGGTTTTCCTGTGCAGAAGGCTGTTTAGCTTTTGATACATAAGTTGCCAGCTCCTTGGATATCAGCAGGGATGTTATCTGAATTAAGCAACAATTGGTTCTGATGGCAACAACCAGTTCTGTCCTGCCTCCTCCTCCTCTTCCTTCAGATTGGCCAGCATACTAGACTCTCATTCTGGATCTTGCCCTTTGGATCCCCAGAACTGCCTTGATCCCCAGCCACAGCAGTATGTGCACAGCAGAGCCATGGCTGTAAAGGGTGTACACACCCAGTGAGGGTATAGCGAGTGAGAGAGCAGAGGTGAGCTGCCCAAGCCTACTGCAGGAGACCATGAGTTCTCCTGTCACCTTAGGCCTGTGGGGCTCTCCCTCTTCCTCTGAGGAAAAGGAAGAATTTAAGAACCAATTCATAAGAACCAATCCAAGCCACCTAAATAACTCCCTTGATTATCAGGATTACTGATAATTTTATTTTTATTTATTTATTTATCAAATTTGTCCCCGCCCATCTCATTGAACGACTCTGGGCAGTTTACAACAAAATAATTACTTTATAATTACTTTAGCATGAGCCACAAGAATTTGAGCAAGGCGTCATTACAGCAAGATGGCTGCTGACTTATATGTGTCTATCTCTGCTTCTTTTCTTTATGTCTCCAGGAAGGATACTTATCAAACCCCAAAAGTCTGTGGGAAAGCTACCCTCATATTCATCTCCCGTAAGTATTGAATGCTTTGGCAGTTTTCATTTCTACCCTTCAAGAGAGTCATAGCATAGCCATTGTACAACTGAACACAACCACTTCCTTCCTCTTTGGTTATCTGAGGTCAGCAATGAGTAATGGTGACAAAAAGAGTGTATTCAAGGCTTCAGGGCTTCTAAAGCAATCTCATAGCCCCCTCCTGTGAGCAATGCCAAGATTGCAAGCACAAACCTAGCCTTTTCAAGAGGAACAAAGGCATCCCCAGCTTTAAGAGATGTGGAGTCTGCATGGTGGTGGGGAGGCACTTTACCTTTCTGAGAGGAACATGAGCTGCATTGGGTAGGAGGATGACAAAAGGCAATTGCAAACACTTGACATTTGAGCAAGACTGCAGTTTTCTCCCATCAAACCTGGGAGATGTTGGTTTTATTTTATTTTATTATTTTATTTTATTTTATTTTATTTATTTTAGGCTTTACAGGGTAGCTTTTACCCAAAATAGGTCTCCAAAAGAACACCCCTGGCTTAAATGGAGAAGTTGGGTGACTCTACCCACGCATTCCCTCCTTCATTGAAATTGCACTCTCAATAGCTCCACAAATAGCATGCAGGGAGGAAAGTGGAAGCAAGAGAAGATGGTGCTCTTGATGTTGATCTAAAAGTGATAGTGATATGACTCATGTATGTATGAAGAAGAGAACAGTTTAGGCAGTCTTCTTAATATCATTCCTTTGCTATCCAAGTATTCAAGGGGGAAGAGTTCCAAATAAGAATTTTATTTTACAGTGCAAGCAATGAACTTTCCAGGTGTTGTCTTCCAGTTGTAATCCTCCTTTGTTTTCTGGTAATTATTTTCATTTTTTACTTGCCAGAAAAAGTTTCACATTGGCTATCACTGATAACAGTGGAAGCCCTTTTTCAAAAAACATCTGAAGAAAAATCTAGGGTTCACTTTCTCCTTGAATGAAATTCCAAAGACCAAACAAAAGAAACAGTCTAAAATGCACAGTCTCCATTCCCACCTCATCCCATGCAAAAATATTAGTCTTCTTCCTAAATGAAAGCTGTGTTTTATGAATGCAGTCCCACTCTTGAGCTACAAAGTGTGTTTACTTCAGGGGAATTGCTAATTGCCATTATAATTAGTTTCGGTCTATGCAGTTATACATTCTAAGTTTTGTACAGAAATATAAGGATGTTTGCTCAAAAGCCAGTAATATGGAGAAGCATTCACTTATTAGAAATATTAACATACAGTTCCCTTATTGGCTACCCCTTCTTTACTCATTTGAGGCCAAGGGCCATTCGCACATTATATTTTTTCAAAACAAATTACTCTCTGTGAAAGGACAAGAGAAATGTACATGTCTCTGTTTGATTCCTGAACTAAGCAACTCACATTTCAATCTCTGTATGGTTTAACAGACTTCTCTAACCAGGTACTCTCCAGCAACTCCTAAAATTCCCAGCAAGCATAGCCACGTTGCCCTCCAAACTTATCTGAACACTCTTGCTATGAACGTTCTTCCTTATCACTTCAGGGGCCTTTAAACGTTCTTTTAAGAGGTCCTTAAACTTTCTTTTTTGGGTGGGGGCAGTGGCAAAATAGGTTACTAGTATTTAAAGTCATTAAAGAAATCTACTTGCTATCCCAGAAATAAGTAGAAAGGTTTTAATTTGCCCAGAAGATCCTCAGAACAGGAAATAGAAGTAAGGTCTTCCTAGTTTGAGGACCACTTGGCTAGTACATGTCTTCTGGGACATCAGGTATCTTTCCTTATTCCCACAGCTGAATGTTATTAATATGGTTGGTTGCCACAGGGCTCCTACAGATATATCCTTTGGATACAGTGTGCAGTTTGAGGCAGTCACTATGATCCAGCCCTGGGTTCCTAAAGTTTCTATCCTATAAGGAACTAAACAATTGTCATAGAATTAAAATTGGACTGCCACTAATGTTTTGATTCCTGTTTGTGGTGCCTAGCAAAAGCACATGTCCATTACACAGCTTCCCACCTGCTCACGCATGAAACTTGCATCTCTTCCTGGAGAAAACACAGAAATATAACATATTTCTGATGGAATCAAAATACAAGGGGGTATTGCCTTCAATTAGCAAAAATAGCTCATTTCCCTTACTTCTCTTTCCATCATAGAAAGATGTTATAGTGCAAATAACACCTCTAGTCCTTGGTAATTTAATTATTTGGGATTGGAGAAGGTATTACCAACTGCCGTGGGACTGCTACATATTGATGGCTTCTTGTTATTTTCCAAAGTGAATTTGGAAATGTTGCTGTTTCCCAAAACACCTTCACAGCAAACTTCCTCCTAAAGGGATGTTCATAACACAGTTGGAAGAATAGAAGAAATATGTAACTGTTTGCTTAATGCTACTATTTCTTACATTCTAGGTTCCAGGTTAAGTTTTTTTATCTTTGTCAGCTATCCTATTGGCTGCACACATTGCCTGAATTATATTTCCAGAAGGTGCGGAAGGTGAGTGCCAGCTCAATGAGTTGTCTCTTCACTATGACTCTAAGAGTTATTTCAGAGGCTGAAATAATGAGCCCTGCATTCACAGTTACAAAACTATTCTTTCCCTACTTCTCCATCTCCAGTAGAGACCCCAGATATTAGTCTGTTAGCAGATTGGTTAAATAACATGCATTATCTGCCAGATGTGCTGGTAGAGGATAGAGGGAGCTGGCTTCCCTGCTTCTTTAGCTCAAATGGAAACCAAACTGCCTGACAGACGAGGGACAGAATCCTTCCCCTCCACTCTGCTATAATGTTATCGTGACAACCCACAGTATCAGGTTGAATAGAAGCTTTTGAAAATGTATCCTTACAATGCTTACGGCTAACCTTGATCCTAATCCCCCAATTGCTTTGGGAGCAACCTAAAATAACACCGATGTACACTGCCTGTTTATTGTCTTCTTAAAATTAACACTGGCCTTTCCTTATTTTCTAGGAAGAGATTCCACGTCAGTTGCAGTACATCACCCTTTATCTAGTGCATATATCAGGAGCATATCTCTTAAAGTAAGTATTACTGAGCACACTTTTTAATTCAGCAGGTAATGCAAATATACGTGCAGTTGCCATCTCTTCAACTTAAAAAGGACTCTTTTGTATTTTCAGTGCATTACCCCCTACAAATCCAGAATTGAAAATATTTCTTTCCTTTATAAAACAAGTGTGCAAAGTGCTTTGGATTTTCAAGGGAGTTCTTTGTAATCAAATGTTTTCTCAAAATAAATTCTGTGCTTTTCAGTGGGGCTTATAGGTTTCCACAGGATTGCTGCTTAATCTAATCTATTTGCCCCAAATTAAGCCATCTGTTTTATTAACAGTAGAATTTTAATTTCTAGACCCCTGGATGGACCCATTCTCCAGATAGAAGTAAATTTTCTTTTGTCCAGTGGGACTTGCTGCCTAGTGATGAATGTGGGATTCAAGCTTTGCACTATATCTGCATTTCATCTGAGCTGCAAAACTTCAGACAATCACTGGATGGCAGCAAGGAAATACAGACAGACAGCTCTTCCCTGCCATCTGGTGGCTATCAAGCTTTTTGCAACCCACATCTGGTAGTGGGTTACTTTCAGGTTACTTTCATGTTTTTCTGGGCAAGAGGACATACTTCTGACTAAAGCACTGAGCTTCACCCACCCATCATTTTTATCTTCTAAAATATAAGTATTTGGGAAATAAACACCATGAATAAAGGTTGGAACTAGGCTTCACAACCTGCCAGGTTCCCCAATTAAAAAAAAAAAGTTTGTAGTTTGAGCAGGATTTCCAGTGACTAGGAAGATTCAGTTTCTTCCATTCACTTTTCTTTGAAGCAAGTAGAATTATATCCACTGACTTGATTTGGTCCCTATTGCACATACTATGTTATTTTAATTTAGGAGTAGCAGGTGTGTGATAAAAAAACATCAGGACTCAGTGATGATCTTTGTAAGGGTAGGGTAGAAAATCATGATTTATTAACTTGATTCTGTCCATCCTCAATACATGGTTTTGCTCACTCTTGGAGTCTTTGGGGAGGAACTTCAACAAGCATTAAAGATTTTTCCTGCTTGTCTCTAGCCTCACACGTCTGGGACTAATCTTGTTGCTGCTGCAGTATGTCGCTGAATTCCTCTTCCACATGGCCCGTCTTTTTTATTTCACAGATGAAAACAATGAAAAGCTGTAAGTGCTCTTGAGTGAACTTCATATAATGAAACCAAGCCTTCTAAACTTTCTGTGATCCTGGAGCTGGATAATCCTTTCTAGTATGGTCTATCATGTTTTATTGCTAAAATAAAGTAACTGCTAATATAACTGTTGAATGAGGTAGACTAATAGTGATGGGTTGTTAGCCTGGTAGTAAAATTCCTTTTTCTACTAAAGTAGGAAAATGTTAGATTCCCAGTTCCTATCAACCTATGGGGATAAAGAATTACATGGACAAATCAATTTGTCTCAAACATTCAATAGTTAATGCAGTTCTGTTTAGCAAAAACTAGATGATTGATCACAACTTTCGATGTTACTGGTGGATCTGCATTCTCTTCATGGTTGATCTGCCAGATCTCTTGATGTAGAGTTTGGAATACTTTGACAATATTCCAGAGCACAGTGCATAATGACAGTTGCTGTAAACTGAAATATGACAAGTTTTAATACAAGAATCGTATTTTTAATTTCATAAGGTTTAATGCATGGGCAGTAGTTTTCGTCATCTCACGGCTTTTCACCCTCACCCTTTCCGTGCTGGTCATTGGCTTTGGGCTGGCTCGGGCTGAGAACCAGGCATTTAATCCTGAAAAAGGAAACTTCAACACTTTGCTTTTCAGGTAAGTATGTAATGGGTTTTGCTTCCTGATACTGAAGAAAGATGTCCTGTGGTTAATGGCTAGAAGACAGGGATTGTCAGTTCATCTCTCTGTTTCTTACTCAGTCTTACCCATGATCAATAGATTGGGAGAAAGTAGTAGCATTATTGCGTATTCTCTTGTACATACTCCTTCAGTAGAAATTCCTGCCCTGATAACTTTAATATTGTTAACTAGTACTTTGACACCATCGCTGTTTGGTGTTGGCCATTGTTGAGGAGTCCCTCCTAGCTACTATTTTAATCTGAGGGGACAAACCAATCCTGGCTAGGGGGAAATCTGCTTTGTAGCATTAGTTGTGATATAATGCCTAACCAAGATTAAGATCAGCAGGAAGGGATGGAAGGAACTCATTCTAGAGAGTGGTGGATGTGGACACTCCTATAGCCTGCCCCAATCTTCTGTGGATGAATAATCATGAAAATTACAAAATTACTAGTGTGTTACATTCCTGGGCTTTTGTTGCATAGAAAAGATGGATGTGAAGAATATACTTAAAGCTGTGATCTAAAATGTAGCAAGGTAATAAACAAGGTATGGAGTTCTATTATTATAGAACTCGTGTTCTGAATAAATGAAGATGACAATTTTAGGGTAATAAGCTTAATAGTTCCTTGTGCAATGAAGCACCTGAATGAAGATAGCTATTATATTTTAAAGATTTTGTGCATAGTTGTAGAGCATAACAAAAATCCTGTCTACCAATATAAAAGTAGACTGCAGAGGAACCTCCTGCTTCTTGAGATTTGCCAACCTCAGTCTCTGTCATCTTGAGTTTTTCCGAAAGCAAAAAGAAACTGTTTCCAGGACAGTTAAATTGCTGTAACCTGTGTGATTGCTCTTTTGCAGCAAAGCTTTGCCATCCCCTCCTCCTAACTATGCTCATTGTCCTGGGGAAGCAATAACCCTAATTAGGACCACTGGGGGGAAATTCTCCTTCTGCCACTGTTCTACCCTGCCATTAGCAGTGGAGAAACAGCCATCTCTTCCATGTTTCCCAGCTAACAGAGGACTGATCATTTGATCATGGAGGAAGAGTGAACAGGGCTCCCCATGTGCTCTGTGGCTCACCCCAGAAGCAGATGAGGCTGCATGCAGATTATGATTTTCCCCTTAGCACAGGCCAGATCCAAACATGCTTATTCCAAATGTGCTTGCTTTGCCTCCTCCTAGGATGGGCGTGTTGCTTCTGGTGTGCTTCTCACAGGCCTGGATGATGTGGCGCTTCATTCATTTCCAGTTGCGACGCTGGCGTGAATACTGGAATGAGCAGAACACTAGAAAAAGGGTTCCAGCCACTGTCCACTTCAAACAACAAGTAAAGGCAATGAAAAGGGAATCTGGTGAGCATCAGGCCTAATGGACCATGTACTAAAGCTGCAGAATGCCTCCTGTTAATCAGTTAGATTGCTAAATATTGATGAACTAAAATGATTAATTGGGCAGTAGATTTTTAATTAAAATCTTTAATACAAGTACTTATTAAGAATGAAAAATTACAAGGGCAGAGTTTCCTGCATAACAAAGGATACCAAAGGATGGTGGTGGTGGTGGAGGGAGCAATGCACCTCCTGTGACTTGCACATGCATCACCCAGCATCAAAGTATGCATTTCATTCAAAAGTAGTATTTGCATGAATATGCCAGTATAGATTAATTTACTTTTATTATACATGTAAAGGCCATGATGAAAAATATAATGCATATCAATATGCAGAGATTTTGTTTACTGAATTAAAGCATGCAAATAATCAACTAAGATTGCTTTCATTGGGTGATAATCCAGTTAAATTCTAGAGACTTATGCTGGCTCAAGCTTTTTGGTACAGCAGTGGCATCAATTTATTATTTATTAGATTTTTTATCCTGCCTTCATTATTTTTATAAATAACTCAAGGCAGCGGACATACCTAATACTCATTCCTCCTCCTTTTTTCCCCACAACAACAACCTTGTGAGGTGGGTTGGGCTGAGAGAGGATGACTGGCCCAAAGTCACCCAGCCAGCTTTCATGCCTAAGGGAGGTCTAGAACTCAGAGTCTCCTGGTTTCTAGGCCAGCACCTTAACCACTACACCAAACTGGCTTTCAATGCAGCTGCTATGCTAGAAACACTTCTTGTGGTGCTGCTCCTGTTACATTATTGTCTTGTGGCTTATGCTAGGGCAGCTGGTCTTCACTCTGATTGCATTCAGTAGCTATGCTGGCTGAAGATTCTGGGGGATTCAGTCCTACACATTGGGGGAGCACCAGGCTGGGGAAAGATGCAATGGGCACTGAGGTCACATGACATTTCTGAAGAAGACTTGGTCTCCGTGACCTGCCTGGCAGCCATTTTTCAGCTACCACTGGCTGTCTTTCAGGAGAGCGAGGGAGAGAAACCAACCTGTTAACACAATTTTCTCCTTATTATCATTCCTTTCCCCCACTCCCCATTACAGGCTACCATGAAAATGGAGTAGTAAAGGCAGAAAACGGTACCTCACCACGAAACAAGAAACTCAAGTCTCCGTAGAGCCAAAGCACAGCCTACATGGGATGTTTGAGGAGGAGGTAGAAGGTGCAGGAGTGAGGACTCTGGAAATAAAAGCACCTTCCTCTCTTTTGTCCTCACAAAGCTCCACCTCAAGTGATGTGCCCACATAGTGGACCAACCTCTCTTTCTCCTCCCCCATCCCCATGTCTTTCTGTCTCTGTCTCTCTCTTTGCAATAACCAAAAGGCCTTCATCCTTGACAGAGGGGCTTAGGAACACCAAAACCTTTTCCTTGCCCTGTTGTGTATTGTGCATTTCAAAAAAAAGTTTTGCTTGTTTTCATGCCCCCAGAAATGTTTTCTTTAGAAACCTGTTCCCAACATAAAAGCTTTTTTTCTTCCTCCATTCTCCTTTCATCAGTGTTTTGACTTAGAGAGATTGTGGCTTCAGCCCATGATGGAATTTGGTGCCAGGGACTAGATTTTTGGGGCTTGCCAGGTTTTCAAAACATGATGGAAAGATACAGAGTTACTTTTATCTGTTTGCAATTTATCATGCTCAGTTTCAAAAGTTAAAGTTTTCATTTGTAGTTTCAGCTACCTCCTCACAGATGTGGTCCTCTTTCTTATCTTTCTTCTCTGGCCATAAGACAGAATTCCGTGTTCTCTTAGAAACAATTGAATTGTCCTACAACTGGAGAATATACTTGACTTGTCAGTTTGGTACTGTGTGAAACATGATTTCCATCTTTGTTGGCCTAGAAAGTATCAGCCTACAGTGTCCTGAAGGAATGGATAAGCTTCTTCATTCATTCATATGGGAGCTCAGGGCATTTGTACTAGTGAAGAAGAAAAGGCTGTGACTTCTTCACAAGAGGATAATATCTTTTAGGTTCATGGTTTTTCTTCTGACCTTCTTAAGGAAGTGTTAGTATAGTCTTGTTGTCTGGGTCATTCATGTTGAACACCATCCAATCACAGGATAGTAATATTTTGCCTATGAAATGTACTCCTGTGCATATTTTTTCAGAAGTAAATTCCATTAAATTCAGAGAGGCTTACTCCATTTTATTTTGGTGTAGGATTGCAACCTCTGTCATTTTTTTACCCCAAGAGCCTCTTTTTCTAAGTTATATCCAAGAGGTTCTGAATTCATGCCTGCCCTGGCGTTCTCACTTCTAAAACTGCAGAGATTGTTTCTATTCAGATTGAAAGCAATCTAGTTCCTAGTTGCGTAGTATATGGTTGGATTATGAGCGGTGGGGGAGGGGAGAAGGAATAATGTTTCAAAGGGGAGAGCAGTATTTGTAAAGCTGGTGGATGATATAAAACATGAAATCTACCTCGGAGGCCACCCATTCCTACATTTCCTTTAGTTAAGTTGATCTGGCAACTACAAAGAAATTGGGGTTGTTCACTCAAAAATACCTTAGAGTTACTTTGTACACCTGTAATGTTCATTGTTTTCATGAAATAGCGTCTTGTATCCTCCTTTGTGTAGACTTAAGCTTGCCTTATTCAGCAGGGTTACTTCATGACTGTGTCTTATTTTAAGCTGTAGTGTAACTGGATCACCTTACAGTGTTGTTCTCCTTATCATATAATACAAAGAAGAGACTTCTTACTTCTATTCTCTTTTGCCATAATTTGGAATAGAAGTATCTATTTCATGAATCGATGGAATTAAATAAGTAGCATACTTAGTAGTTGGGTTTTCCAAGATTTGACCCAACTACTCCTTTTTGTGTAAGCTTTTTATTGTGTCTAAAGTAGGTCTGCATAAGTTAAGACCTGCCAAACCAAATACATTAGCTATGAGTTTCATCCTGCCAGGGCATCTCTGGTTTGCATTTACCAGCCTAGGACAGCAGGTAAGAGGGGCTGCTGCAGTCTTGGCAGACAGCAGTGCATGATTAGTGAGTAGTGATAAGTTCCATGAATCAGGGATGCAGTCCACCTGTAAAATTTTGGGGAGTGTAGGAGGTGAACAAGACTCCCTAAACGGCCTACAATATTTGTATCTCTGCAGAATCGTATGTATCTTTTTATCATTCTCTTGCTATGGACTCTAATGCTGCTTGGCACTACTTGAGACTGTATGGAGAGCTATTTTTTTTCTTCCCACCAAAATCTTGAAACATCCAGATTAGAGCCCTTCTGAGCTGAAATCAACTGTACCATATTGTGCCTGTCACTCCTTAGCTCTTGCTGAGTTCTAAATATACCTCATCTGTATCATTTTTATACAGGAGAGAAGGACTAAGCTGGGTTCGTGATGGTGCTAAGTAGGTCATATACGGCGGGCTAAGCTACATGCATACCTGAATGCAACAGCTCTGTTGCTTGAGCCTAATAGAAAGCCCACCACTATTGTAAAGCAGCTGTGTGCAGCTTCTGTCATCAGAAGAACTACTCGGCTCTGTGTGGCATGTTGATGGTCACTTTCCAATAATGGGTGTAGTATAATTGCCAATTTTTAAGTGTCTTGAGTCTCTGGAAGACAGAGTGAACTCACTTCACTCTTTAAAGTTTTCCCCCAAGGTCACTGAAATGCAAACAAAAAACTTTAGCCAAATATTTTAGTTGCATCTATTAGGGAGTGCTTTGGGGACCATAAAAAGTGTATGTATGTGCAACTTGTAGGCTTTCTTTTACACTCGTTATTAACATCAGTGTTCTAAATTGGAATCCCTCATGCTTTTTGATAACTCTGAACTGCTAAGACTTGACCTAGCTTAGTCAAATGGAGCTTTTCTGACTTTGCACCAAACTTGGTCAAAAGTCTTCTGTCTCCCAAGGTTCAGAGAGCTACTTCTAAAAAACTGCAGAAAAGCCTCCAAGCCAGCCCTACACTGACCCAGTTTGCCCAGGTCCTTTCCTCCAGTACCAGGTTTTCAACTGTAGTACAATTTTGTGCAAGTGCCTTACATTACCACATAGCCTTTCCAATCTTTTTAACTTTTCATATTGGTCTTTATATATGTATTCCTGTAGTTCACATATACTATATGCACTAGTTTAGCTATTCAAAAAAAGGGACAGCTTTTGCTGAATGCATTGCCTCAATTTCTATGCCTTTTCGACCATAAGTAGTTCCTTAATGACTGTAATTGATGGAACTATTCTAGATGCAAGCATCTCTTTTGTAGCACAGAACAATCCATAATATCAAACATTTCCATAGCAGACTAGATGCTCTTATTTGCTTTTAATTATAGATAAGTCATTGTATTTCTAAAACTTTTTGAACAACTCTGTTTTTGAGCTCCTTTCATAGCAACTGATGCTAGAATTAGATGTTATGCTTAATTCTGTAATTATTTAGGAACGGGGCCTTTAAAAAAACACTGTGCAGTCATTGAAGCTGCAATTCTAAGCAGAAGTTACACATGCATAATAGCATTACCAATTTGTGCCACTTTTCCATAGAGAATTGCCTTCTACTTCTGGGTGTTTTCATTCTCAAAACAAAAGATGTGGGTGCAGAAGTGAAAATAACTTGGGGGATGACCTTTCCTCTCTGACACTAGTGGTCTGCTTTTAATTGCTGTCTCAGTAGCTGTTGCGTAAACAGAGAGACAACCCACCAACACAAATCGGATTTTAACCTAAGGGGTGCCTTTGCATGAACAAGTATAGTCTCACTCTTAGTTAAATGATACAGTTAAGTGATAAGAGCCTGAACTCTTATTTGGTTCTTCTATATTCTGCTTCTCCCACTAGCCAATAAAAAAGGTTGCATAGATTTATAATCCCTTCTGAGTGATCTCACCTTGAGGGGAAGAAATGGGAAGAGTAGTTCTCCATAATGTAATTATATTTGTTTGGGGTGGGGGCATCATTATTAGCTTTGGGACTTATTCTTCCTTTAAAACTGGATTAAGTGGGGAGAACCTCATAGTGCCTTTTCTTCTTTCTTGTTCTAGGTCAAGCATAGGCAAACATTTTGGGTCAGGGTGTGTTTGTAATTTTGAGAGCATACGCTGAGCATGCTTGCAGAATGAATGCCAGGTTAGATGTGGTCAGTCACAAAATACCCACTTAACAAATGGTGAACTAGCCCCAAGGTGTTCTTTGTTACCCCAGTGGGACCTCTGTGGAGTCCAAAGGCAAAGTTGCAGATAATCATAATGGTAGAGGCTGGTGCTTTCCTTCAAAGCACGCCAGCTTCCCCATTTTATTATTTTTCTAAATTGAAAGTGTTTTTTTAAAAAAAAAAGAAAGAAAAGTTGGAACAGAGAGTGTGGTGGGGTTCAAGAAGGTGCCATGGGCATCAGTTTGCCTACCCCTGCCCTAGATGGATCAACAGATATGTAGCATAATACTGAGATCTAAGTATAAATGTTCCAAAGCTCAGTAAGTAGATCTTTGTGATTTTGGAAATAGCATAGGGTTTCTTTGCTTTTTTTTTTTAAGTATCCGTGTAATAAAGCAGCTAGCAAAACAAATGTCCTACCCATACAGTTTTTATGTTTTTTAGGCTCTGTTTTTGAAACAAATTGTAAGTAAATGTTATGTAAAACTTATTGTTATGGCTGCAGATAATTTGCTCTCAGTCTGGTTGAAATTAAGACTTTGTTCTGTTTCTGATACTATTAAGTGGAAAACCGGTTACCTCTATACATTCTTTTGTGTCTTCCAGAAGAAAAGTCTTTATTATCCTGAGACTGCAGCTACATCAGGGTTGTTTTTAAGGGCTTTGTTTTGTTGACCTTCATTCAGAAATTAAGTATTATCATTGTTCTACAAGTGACAGTATACAGCAAAAAATGTTACGTTAGAAGTGTACATGGCTGGGTTTTTTCCTGTTAGTATTTCTAATTATGGACCAAATCTAAGCCTAATCTTGCATATTTAAATTTAATCTTGTTGGCTCCTGGTTTGTAGGGAGGGAGGGTATAACTTTTTGGGATTTTTTTTCTCAACGTTTTATTTCCACCATTGAAAAATCTAATTTGTTTATGAATTTTTGTTGTTGTTAAAGAGCTTTTATGAAAGCAATCTGTGATACAATTATTTTTCTGAAATAAAAAAGGCATAGAATGATGAAAAGTACCAATTTGAAGAACTCATTGTTCATTCACTACTAATTTGTCCTTCACCATCAACTATGAAAGTATGGCTCCTAACCAGTTTGGTGCTCATAGCTGTAGGCTTCGCTCTACAGTTTGCCTGGCTGAGTAATATCAGAATGTTTGAACATGTTTGGAATCGAATATATGCTGAGAGTGTAAGAATTCCCAAAGAAGAAAATCCTGGGCACAGCAAATAGAGTGGCTCTTTCAGAAAGTTCCAACATATTGAAACATGTAACATAAAGCCTGCTTGGTTCATATATGTAGACCTGAGTAAGTTTTATCCTTTCTTTCTTAACTGAGGAGGTGGAATTTCTTCCTGCTTCCTGGTAATAGGAGGGAAATCATGTTAGCTATAGGCTGTCATTAAATGTCTTCCCCTTCCACTTTAGAGACTGGAAAGTTCTGGATCCTGCAGTTCCAAAGTTTCTCTTAATACATGTCTTCAACCCTATTGGAGCATAAGGTGGGTTGGTTAAGGGATTTAACTTTTCTGTGTGTTTGATATAATAATTTATTAAATTTATGTGCCACCAACTCCCAGCAACTCTGGGCAGTTTACAAATTGTTAAAAACATTTAAAAACAAGTAATACAAGAAACACAAAACAAAGAAACAAAGCTGGCATACAAAACAAATTTGGATGGGAACAAGGGAAAGAAGAAAAGGAGCATCAAGTGTTCTCACCGAAGGCCTGAGTGAAAAGCCACATCTTCAAGGCCCTTTGAAATCCCAGTAGGGTGGGAGCCATATAAAACTTGGGGGAAACATCATTCCAGAGGACAGGCACTGCTACAGAGAAGACATACTTCCGGGGACCTGAAAGATGGCACTGCTTAATTGATGAAATCCAGAACGCACAAACCTGCCAAACTGAACCAGTTGGGCAGATACTATGAGAGACAAGTGTATTGTTTTATGACTGATATCGTATGTCTATTACTTAAGGATAGTTACGTTACTTGACACCTGACACAGAAAATCCCATAAGTGCCTATTTGCTTCCCAGGCAATAAAGTGAGTAACTATAGATTTTAGTTACATGCCTTGAGATAGCCACCCTCAGTTTATTTCTAGAAGGACCAGACCTGTGATAGACTGTTTTTGCCAAGTAACGTGGGAAATTGCAACTTGAGTATGTGGTACAAAAAAGGAAAGCATACCAGAGCACCTTTCAGGAATTAGCATATTTTAATAGAAATTGATCTGGTACAGCTGGTAACTGCCAGTTTTGAGCCAATCAACACTGGAACGCTCTGAGGAAGGCAGGGTATCTTATCTGATTTTCCCCATGAGAACATGTGTTAATAAGCTGCAAAAATAGAGAGAGAGGCCAATGAGAAGTTGCAAATACTGTAATTTCATTTTTTTTAATTGCAATATGTCATAAGAACAAATACAGTTAATCTGCAGTGGTAAGATTTTTGCTTCTAATCTTCAGAGTAGAAACTAATAGAAAGCAGGCTGTTTCCTTTTCTAATAATTTCTCTAAACAGCTGGATTCTTAGCTTATGTGAAAACACAGACATAATATGCTAGTGGGAGAAGGAGACAACTGGCTGTCTTCCAATTACTGAAATAGTGCAGTTTTCTCCAGGCAGCTTTTTTATCATTTTCTTTCTCACATTTCAATGGCACTGTGTAAAAATCTATTACTTAAACAAAAATCCAAAGAAAGTGCCTGCTATTCAAATAAAATTTGACATCTTAAGTAGCATTTGTTAGTATGCTGCTTAAAGGGGAAAAAAATCAGGGACTATCACTACTCTTTCAAACTGGAATGAAAGAAAATAATAATAGGACTTGTAAAGAAAATGTACAATTAAATTAAATACAGGTAGTCCTTGAGTTACAACCATTCATTCAGCAACCATTCAAAGTTACAGCGGGACTGAATGAATGGTATTTATGCCTGGTCCTCAAACTTATGGCTGTTGCAGTGCCTCCATGGTCACGTGATCAAAATTCAGGCACTTGGCAGCCCACCCACATTTACAACCACAGGGGCACCAACTCCCCCCACCCACCTATCTCCCCTCCCACACCCTTTTGGCTCCCTGCATTCCGCGGCCCCTTCCATGCTGGTCTCTGCCTTCCCAGCTGACCTTCAGCATCTTGCTCCCACTGCTGACCAAGCACATCCAGCCTGTCCCTTCACGAGGCAGCTGCAGGCTGCACAAGGCTCTCTTTCCAAGGTTGCACATGGTGGCTTCCTCACAAGGAAGAAAGCCTCACATAGCCAGGCTGGGCATGCCTGATCAGCAGCAGGAGCAAGAAGACTGCAAAGGTCAGCTATGGCAGCAGGGGCCTCAGAGTGCAGGGTGGCTGGGGTGGCTGAGGCCTCCCAGAGGGGCTGTAACTCAGGGACTTCTTGCAGCCCCAGAGCTGCAGCGCTCCAAGAAGCCCTTGAGCCGCAGCATGGCAAACAGTCCCAGAGCCGCACTGTTCTGGGTGCAGGGTGGCCAAAAGGGCAGAGATTGGGGGGAAGATAGGCAGTTGAGGGGAGTTGAAGGGGAAGCAGTCCCTTACATTGGAAGAACCAAGGCTCAGGGTTGGGAGGGACCAAGCTGGGAATGGCTTGGATCGGGATGGGTCTTTGGCTAACAACTGGTGGGATTCGGTTTACAACAGCAATGGGGAGTGCCAGGATTGCCATCACTAAGTGATGTGGTCATGTGACATTGAGCTTTACAATTGCATTGCTTAGCAATGGAAATTCCGGTCCCAACTGCCATCGTAACTTGAGGACTACCTGTACATAGGAGTCTGGGAAAGCCTTTGGAACATTTTAGCTAAATAAATAGTGCTGCAAATTACTACTATCACATAATAAATCACCAGTATCAGGGCTCAAATAAGATAAATCAATTTTTAAAAAACTGGAATGCTGCAAGCTAAGGGAAGTAGCATATCATTTAATAACATTTAAAATATGAGCATACAAAAGGATTTCAGAAAATGGCTAATGCAGAAATTTCTCTTGGGAATTCTAAAATTTGTCACTTTTAATGTCCTAGCAGAAATTGGGCAAGTGGCACTCATGAAAATATGCAGTAACTTGCTTTGATAAATGTAAGAAAATTCAGTTAATCACAACATGAATTGGCAAGAAATCTCTCTATACGCTCAAGATAGTACCTCCCCATGCTATAGGAGCACTTATGCCACAATTATCTTTTTTACTGATAGTAGAAAGAAAGAAATGAAAACAAATGTATAACCACTATGATTTTAGACTGATCCCAGTCCCTGCATCTTATCAGTGGAATTATGGAAGGGAACTAATGTTGTACCAGTACAGGTAGTCCCCAGGTTAAGAATGCCTGGTTTAAGGATGACCTGTATAACCCATATAGTTAAGAACAGAGCCTACTGTAGCAAAATTCGAGTTAAATGCATAATGGTTCGAGTTCATTACACAATACTACTTATACAGTATTATACAATAATACTATTCCGGCTTAAATACAAATTCAGCTTAAGGACAGACCTTGGGAACAGAACTCATTCTTAAACTGGGGACTACCTGTATCTCCATACACTATCAATACCTTTACCTGCATTTCCAAATTCTTTCAAAAACCTAAATGCAGTTATTTGTCCTTTTGAACATTTCTATCATTGCTCTTACTGTTGATCACTCTTGGCTTATAGCTAAAACAGATTGCTAGCTCCTACTTTTTACCTTTTGGAAAATCGGGTCGTCAATTGGTATTTTAAAATGATCACAGAGAGCAGAGAATTCTGCTTTGTTCAGAAGCCCTGAGCCATCTTTATCTTGCTGAAGGAAAGCTTCTTGCATACTGCTGTCTGGCAAGTAATTATGTCGCCTCATGTGCTCCTGAATCTGCTCTAATAGTGCAGCCAGCTCCTGTGGGTCAGGCTCATTGGAAGCTAACCTAGAGGGAGAAAAGAACTCCTTTTACTTGAGCTAAGAAGATGTCATATGATGTCCACAAGTCTCAAGTATCTTGAAAAGCTTCCTATATTATGATTCATGGATTGTATTAATCACCTGCCTTTTAGTCTAATTAACTATGTTTAGATAAATTTTATATTGTCAGCATTGGGGGCCTCTGGACATATTAAAGCTTACACCTGAATGGACAAAATTTGCCATCAACTGTTCAAAAGAAAAGCCATTCTTAAGATATCCTTCTATATCACAGTAATGCAGTAACTTATATACAATGTATATACAATGTATAGTCCCAATTTGCAGTGCTAATGATTAAGTTACCCTCTGATTAATCTACTAAATTTTTAATCAGCCTACTAATTAGATGAATGAAAACAAATCATAACCCATTTCAACACAACTATAGCAATTTGATTCTAAACAACAGAACCAGATCTTACTCTGCCAGGTAAGTGACCATTCTTTTCTTCTTTGTGTCTTTTTTAATTAAAATTCAGTTGCAACTTTTCTCTAGGTGGAGCTCTCACTTCTCCTAACTCTGACATGGCAAGTAGGAGTCAACACAAATAAAATATTTCAGTCCTGATTAAGCTTATTCAATCTAATTGAACACAATCCACAGGGATGGTTAGCTCATCTAGAACTTGAAAGAAAATATGAACAGTCGATCACATCCAGGATTACTTTTCTCACAATAATCAACCATGTGCATCTTTGGGGAAGGATGAAGACAAGTGCCCTTTCCTGATATCATTCTCTGGTCATTGGGAACAGGGCCATAGTGTAAGTTCCCCCTTATACAAGCTGTGACTATTTGTGGTGTTTGAAGGTAAAGCAATACAGCTCCTCATTTGCTGTCTATGATAATGTAAGAGGAGGACCGTTACTTACATCATCCTCAGGCCAACAGCTTCAGAATCAGCTTAATCAATGTTAGGCTATGAAATGTGGCAGGAAACTTTCCCAGCAGAACCAAGTCATGCCCACAGAAATATTCCTAGATATTTTCTTCAAATACTCACCCCCTTACTGCCTCCATTGCTGCCTGGCGAGGTGCAAAATGAGCTCTCATAGACTGCACAACAGATGCTGGAAAGCTTTCCAAATTGCTTTCCATATAATTCAACACATAATTATCTGCATCCACAATAATGAACCTATGGCCAAACACTGCATGAAAGAGACAATCAGCCATCACCATAAACCAACTGTCTGCCAATTCCAGAAACGTAGATCAAACCTGTGCAACCTCTTTCAGAGGTGGGGAGGATGCACATTTTTTTCAGCCTTTAAAACTCTCAATAACACTGGTGGTGTTATGGCAACATTGGTGGAAGGGACGAAGCTGAATATTTTGGCCCACATTTTGGGGGTTTTTAAATGCACAAAATAGGTGCTTTAAGCCTAGCAAAAACTTAATGTGTGATTTTAAACCTTTTCAGGGATGCAGGCAAAACATGAAAAATAGAAATCTGGAAATTAACAATATGCCATTGAATTGTATTGGTGGAATCCTGGGAGGCTCTGGAAGCTGCAAAGATGGGACTGAACTATCCTTGCTATAGATGACTGGCTATTTTCTTAGAAGAACAGCCCTACAATCCAAGAAGTTAAAGGTTTCACCTGATCTTGCAGCTCAACAACCTATTTTTGTTTTGCAAAGTGACTGAAGCAAAATGAAGCCAGCCAGCCACAACACAGGACAGAACTGTGTGACTGCAATTAACTTTCTACAACATTTTGATTTGTATTCTGATCTGAGAAAAGTATATAAGACTACAGGGATAAGCTGTAAGAGGACTAACAATATGTTGTACCTCTACCATTTCTTAGTGCTTTGTTTATTTTTCAATAAAATGGCATTTTATCACTCCAAGGGATATCGAAGTGAAAAGCCTTAAGAATGCAGATCCCGCCCCCCAAAAATCATGGGTAGAAGGGTTGTAACTAATCTGAAAAGATCTGTCATTTGCAAATTAGATGGCTCAAATAGCCCCATAATGCCTAATGAATGCAAGGGGAATTGGACAAAATGTATCCAGTTTGTTTTAACTGCAAACTATATTAATTCTCTGTCTTCAGGTTAATTACAATATTCAAAAGAATGTTTTGGATCATCCTAACAGAGAAAACATTTCCTATGTAAAAAATACAAAATAAGGAATGAATATGTACCAAGAAAATCACTTCGTTAAAATATTTATACTATTTCTACTTACCTTCTACCATAGAGCCTATGGTTAGGTCGGCAGGTTCATAATAAACAGGATCATCTGTAGAGGATCCTGGCTTTGGGACTCTGGTTTTGCCTAGGTATTTGCCACCAATAATTCCTGAATTGCGCACAGGTGGTTCATAAATGCTGATCATGTCAGTGGCAAGGCAGTAGGAGAGGACAAAATGCCGCTTGGTGTCATCAGGGTTTGAGGATTCCTGGACAGGTTAAAGATCAAATGTGAGTTGCAAAATAAGCTGTGCATCAAGGGCCCATTATGTTTGGTTATTCCCAATATAGTGCCTTCTTGAAGGTACTGAAACTCCCAGAATTCCCAGTCATACTGATTTGCTACTGAATTAATCCATTGTGTAAAAAGCAGCTGCATAATTAACTGAATCATTATTTAAATAGTTCAAATCATAGATCTTGTAATGAACTTGAAAGTCTTCTACTCTCTGTTCAAAGCAAATCAAATTTAGATCACTTCCCATGATGCCTGCTTAGCCTCTGTTTAAACACCTCCACTGAAGGAGACCATACGACCTCCCAATGAAGGCAAATTGTCCCCCTGTTAAACAGCTCTGAGTCATAAGAAATTTCTCCTAATGTTTAACTGAAGTATGTTCCCTGCAACTTCCTGGACATTGTAATTCTGTTAAACAGATTAATGAAGTCTTAGGCTGCATTAACAGCCACATCACACTGCTGGATCCTATGTAGTTTGTGATTTAATCAAGCTCCTAGATCCTGGTGACAGGCCTTAGTATTATTTTTCTATGTGTACATTTTGAGATGATTCGTGCTTCACATATTTAGTGGCAAATTATTCGTTTGATGGGACACCTATCTTTTATCTTGTTTCTAGTTTTATACATATTACAGTTGCCCTAGCAACTGAAAACCTTCTGAAATGCAATCATACAGGAATAAAATGATCAGATGCTCTGAAACGGAAGCAACAAAAAAGGACTACAGCACAGTTACTGAAGCTAAGAACTAAATATAGAGCCCCAATAGACATCCTCAACCAGCCAAGGTGACCTATATACATAAGTGGTCCCATCACTCCCTAGTTTGAGAACTCCCAATTTAAATCAGATTCCATGTATCCATATTGCTTTGAATTGAAAGACTATTCCGATACACACATTTTAACATCTGCTTCTATTTCTCATTGACTTGTAAGCAACAGAGTTAGAGATGATGATGATGATGATGATGATGATGATGATGATGATAATGATTGACGAGATAGACCTTCTTTCAGCAATTCTGTCAGGTTTTTCAAAACTATCAAGAAGTCCTATATATGAATCCTTCTTATTATACTAAAATTTTACCACTTAGATTTTTGCCACTGGAGGTAAAAATTAAAAGAAAAACTTCTAATCCCCAAACCTGTATCACTCCAGAATTGTAAATCACAATATCTCACCATTCTAACAGCATAGCGCAAAATTTTGTGGTCATTCTCTAGCATCTTAATAACATTTTTCCTAGGTGGTTGTGGAATCAAACTGAAACAATTTTGAAGAGAGTCTTCAAGGAAGCCATAACCATTGTAGGGAGGAATTATCTGTAGATAAAATAAAGGAAGAAAAAATTACAATATTGGATCATGAAACTTCACTCACAATATTGTAAAATGACCTATACTGTATTCATTTTTAAAGAACCTTACAATATTCTGTTGTGAAGTATCATCAGTAAAAGCAGAAATGGGATGGGTAAGACACCATTGTGTTTATAAATAGGAGATTCTGTTTCTAGGTAATACCATTCACATATTCCTGTTCATCTTAGTTCTCTAGCTATTGACAAAACTATTCACTGCAGAATTGTTTGCTTTCTAATAAATTGGGATGATCAGTTCATAGTTTATTAAAGGGACAGATGCAAATGACTTGTGGTCATCTCCAATCACTCTTCCAGCATCTGGAAGAACTGCATTTGGAGTGGGTAGAAAAATAGCAAAAAGCAGTTTCTCCATTTCAAACATAAAAGGAGGAAGGGAAAGAAAAAAAAATAGCTGTGAATGTGCAGAGCCACTACCTGGGACTCGCTACCTGGTTTTTCCTTCCACTACATTCTTCTTATTTATTTCTAAATAAATAATAACATTTGAAAAGCAGCCTTTGTCACCATAAGAAGTTAAACTCTCTAGTGTGGATTCTGAAACTTTTCCCTGTATGGAAGTGAATAAACAGGAATGGTTTGACTTAGCATAAGTGATGCTTCCTAGTACTTCAGTTCTTTATGTCTATGAAGACTTAGTCACCTTCTGGAATTCCTCCAGCAACTCTTGTTTCTACTGGTCAGTCCTTCTTCACAGTCCTGCTCCATGTTCTGACCTCCATCTCCTTGCCCTTTAATTAAAAACTGGCTGCTTTTGCAGCTTCTCCTTTGTTTTTCCCCTTTACCTGTTTGATTTCCTCTGGGGGTGGCTTCTTTATATCAACTGGCTGGAAGTTAGCGATGCCAAATTTATCCTGATAAAATTGTCGAGTGAACTCATCACAGTCATAGATGAAAAAAGTGCGTCCAAGTAGAGTAGTGGATTTGCCAACAGCAAAATCTTTAGCTGTAAACCATTCTAAGACCTCCTGATCAGAAATCTCCAGCACACAGGTTGGGAAGTTTTCTTGCGGAAAAAAGGCAGTTTAGTAAGATTTCCATTGCCACTGTTTATTCCATATGAAAAAATGTATTAAAAATGCAGTCCTTCCTTGGCTTGCTCACATTCTTAACACAATCAGATTTAAATCGGTATACATTTATTATCATGTGCCTAATTTTCATAGGATCTGAGTACATATTGCCAAACATCATTTAGCCAGCATCTGAAAAAGCTGCAGCATCTCTAGGAAAGGCAAGCACAAGTTCATTTAAATACTTTATAAAGGAGTGTAATTAGAAATGAATGCTTCAATAGTGCATCTGATTGACTGAATAAATGACATCTTATCTTGGAATTGCCAATTTTAGTGCATCAGCCTCTCTGAAAACATGCATTCCTTAGCCTTGTTATGGCTCCCATGTTCATATCTTCATGTATTCTTTGCATAGCAAATTTTAATAGGATTCATATTATATCTAATAGTGTTTGTACATAGAACTTGAAGGCACCAAACTTTTTATTTATATAAACATTATCCCACAAAATAGCCAAATCTTCAATCACAGAAAGCTGTTACCTTTCTTCTCCACAAATGTTTTGGGCAGGCGCTGGCGCCTTATCAGCACTGGGAAAGGATCTCTGCCATCATTTCGTTCATGGACTTCCCGCACCTCCACTGTGTCATCTGCCAAGTAGTAGTGGATAATAAATCGCCGGTTCTCACCAAACATGTTCCCAGTATCATCCCAAATGGCATAAAAACGAAGAACCTGGAAGAAATGTGAAGGGGTCAATCTCAGCATGGAAGAGTAGAAGCTTTTCTCATATAAGCTTGATCTCTCACAACTAAAGTGAATCATAACATAATAAAAAGGACAAAATTATATCTTCTCATATTTACAATTAAGACATGAAAAGACAGCCACATTAAAACATCAACAAAACAACATAAAATAGCAAGCCATTGATTAAATCTGTTAACCACCCAGGTTCATATGAGTTTGGAGGCAAATAAATACAGGTGGTCTTTGTTTAACAACCACTCATTCAGCGACCAGTCAAACTTTATGACAATGCTGAATGAGTGGTAGTTATGACTGTTCCTCATACTTACAGCTGGCACAGCATCCCCATGGTCACGCAATTGTAATCTGGATGCTTGATGCCCGGCTTGCAATTACGTTGCAGCATCCCAATTTGCGACCTTCTTTGCCAGCATCATACAAGTAAAGTCAATGGGAAAGCCAGCAGAACGTCACAAATGATGTCCCTGTGATATCCTAGCTTAATGATCTACAGTGATTAGCTTAACAATGGCAATTGGGAGTACCAGAATTTCTGCTGCTAAGCAGCGTGGTCACATGACGTTGTATTTTACGACTGTGTGGCTTAGCAACAGAAATTCCAGTCCCAAATGCTGTTTTTAAGTGAGGACTACCTATAAACAAACTTCACTAAAAATAGCTTTACTATCTTTTGAAATGAAAAGCAGAAAACTCACTCAGCAAGTTCCATAGCTGTGCTATCACTGACAAGGAGGCCCTCATGCTGGGTTTCACCACTGCACCTCCTAGCATCTCCTCTTGCAATGCTCTAAATGTATGCAAGCCTAGGCAGTCCTCTAATATTAAATTTTCTCCTTTTTTAATTATGTTTTACCACCTTAGCTACTACTACTTTTTCACAGCTTAATTGGCTGTGATTTTATTGACTTTCTCTGGGGAGGATAGACTTTGTTTGCTGCTTAAAATGTTTTGAATATACAGAAAAGTAGATTATGAGTAATATGAAACAAACACATCTGAAGCTCACCTTTTTGTCAAATGCCAAAAACTGCTTAAGCTGGTCAAAATCTGAGGGGGTGACATACATACGCAGAGGCATTTTACGTAGTTCTGTGTAAGGATCAAAAATCATTCGCTCTGGAGGGTTCAATTCAATTCCTTGGCTTTCCAGAAAAGTCTGGAAAAGGATAGCCATATTGTTAATAAAGGCAATAAGAAATCATACCATAAGAAAGATCTTCTAAGTAATATCATCTCTGTCCCATCACAGGACTGCCTTAAAATTGTATTTGGGGAGGTGAAATGTATGTGATCTGTGGCAGGCATAGTAAAAAGTTTCTTCCTATGCTACTGAAATCAGGCAAGAAACTCAGACCTTGCACAAGTTTGCACTGCATTATCTCCCATGGGATTATTAATCTTAGCAAAACTGGATTAATGCTACTGTGGGAATGACCTGAGGCTTAAGCTCTTTTTAAGAGATCCCATTGCTTTCATTCTCAACAAAACAGACCTGCTGTGCTATCAGAGAGAGAGAGAGGGAGGGAGAGGCAGAGAGAGGCAGAGAGAGAGAGAGAGAGAGAGAGATCAATCATATGTGTTTAAATGTAAACTTTAAATGAAATAAATTACTCAAACTACTGTGAACAGGTACTAGAATGAGAAATAATCATTATGAGAACTAGGTTGATAATGTAGCATGGGTAAAAGCATGTTTCATAGTTCTAAAAACAAATCACACATACACACTGCTACTTATAGTTGGAAAGTTCTGGTCTCTGAATTGTACATTTTTAATACTACTTTATCCACATACTTACTGCTGTAATAGGCATGGCTTATAAATCTTATCCAGTTACTGTAATGCTGTAGATGTGCAACCAAGATTACAGTACCTGGGTGAATCGATCACAATCAACTATCCGGAAAGTCTTGCCATAGATAGTAATGTTAATTCCTCGGTTGAGATCTTTCCAATGATAATGGTCCCCACGATCATTTTTGGGCAAGCGCTGCCTTTTGATGAACTTGCCCTGAGGAATCCCAGAGTTTTCAACAATGGGCTCCATGACAGACATGCTATCATCTTCCAGATAGTAATAAATGCCCACTTGACGAATGCGGAAATGCTCTTCTGTAGATATAGGAACATCTTCTTGAAAGTATCCATCAAACTTGAGCACCTACCAAAAAATTTTAAAAACCAACCCTATATAAGGCAAGGTAGGTTAATAATAAAAATGACAGGACACCCACTTGTAAGTTGTGTGAGATCATCGAGTGATGGAAATCTACTAGTATATATTCTATTCATACTAAGTGTAGGTTTACAAGAAGCTGTGCTGTCTTTGCAGAAGGTAGGGAATCTCTATTCAGCACCAAGCTAATAGCGATGGCAAACTATTATTTCTTTCTTTTGTATCCTATGAAGGTAAAACACAATTGTGGAAGATATACCACAATTAAGTAACTTTTGACTGACAAGAATGCAACCAACATAAAATATTTTTATTTACTTAAAGAGTATTAATGCTGGAGCAGAAGCCTCTTTGCACAGCATTGATGGGGTATATGAAATTCTGCAGTATAACATTTATTTTTATTGAATGAAAGCTGCCTTAGATTTTTCCCGTGAAAAAAAGGATATCTCTCCCCTCCCCCCTTAGATGTATATGTTGGAGCAAGAAGTTGCTCATATGCTGATCCATTCTGTCTCCATGAAGTAGGCTAAACTGAACAATTCGCCCAGAGATTTGCTGCAAGGGTGAGGGTAGACCTGAATCTGGCTCTTCCTAGTTCAACACTTTAACCACTACACCAGACTGTAGCATAAGACTTAAATTATATAAATAAAGTATTGATAGTGTAGAGGAGGGCAGAAATAACGATGGTGAAGGAAAGCAAGATATCTATTTACTGTCATTTTCTGTTAATAAATAAAAAGAAACAGTAAACAACATTGCAGCCCTTGGTAAGGTGGGAGCATGAGAAAGAGATCCAAAATAACCATGTCTTGATTCTGTATGGTATAAGAAGGGCAGAGAAAAACTCTGGCAGTCTTTCAAGATGCTGTTGTTACGCCCTGCAAACAATAGAGTTTAAACAGTCTTTGCAGGGTCCGTTTCCTGATATGGAGTACTTTCATGGGCCGACAAATAGATACCAGAAATAAACAGCTAATTCTAACCGCTTGCTTGCTGTCTATATTTCATCCACTGTGCACTTGGAAGGGCTATCAGCAGAGCCAGAAGCAATTGGAGACACTGCGGCTGGAGATGGCCTATTTCATAGCAGCTCCTACCTTAACTGTAATTTAATTTGTGGTCTAGATTCAGAATCATACTACTGTAACTCCAATCACACTTGGTTTACTGTGCTATGTGAACCAAGCCATAGATTGTTAAAGAGAGATAAAATGCTACATGTAATCAGTTATTTTGGTCTATCAGCAGTCCAGGGCACAGTGATTATGAAGTCACAGCAGATCTAAAATTCCTGCCATTCAACAGCAAATTGCCCAGTGATCAAATCTTCATCCTATGTCATCTCAAACTCCATGAGCCATAACTCAGAAAATCTAACAATTATACAAAACAAACAAAGAAGTAAAACTAATCTCAATATGTTCATTGCTTCTTGGACCAAGGAATGTGGTGGGTACTATTCTGTGCGTAGACATGATTAAAAACAGAAATTATTTCTTCAGATCATTATTAGCTTACAGTATTGCCAAGAGAATGAAGGGTACATCCCAAGGTACCTGTTCTGTAATCTTACTTGCATCATTACTTCAAACTAAGATTCTGTAAGAGTGTTAAGTGTTCTTCATCTGTTGATGATAAAGAAATTTTGAAATGATAAAAATATAGGGCTCCTTAAAATCTGAATGGAATAGATTTACTAATACCTTGAAATATTTTAGAATGGAGGGATTGTGAAAATAGCGTTGGAGAAACACAGATGACACACAATTTTTTAAAGATTTTATATCCCACCTTTATTATTTTTATAAATAACTCAAGGCAGTGGACATACCTAATACTACCAATAGAGGTGAATACTGTATGTGTAGCTCAGGGTTCAACAGTGGAGTCCTTGGGGTTCTCTGAGCTTGGTTCTTTTCTTACAAACGTTTCATTATCCAGCTAGGTAACATCTTCAGTGCTAGAATAGATGTTACCTAGCCTGGTAATGAAACGTTTGCAAGAAAAGAACCAAGCTCAGAGAACCCCAAGGACTCCACATACCTAATACTCCTCCCTGTTATTTTCCACACCACAACAACCCTGTGAGGTGAGTTGGGCTGAGAGAGAGTGACTGACCCAAAGTCACCCAGCCGGCTTTCATGCCTCAGGTGGGACTAGAACTCATAGTCTCCTGGATTCTAGCCTGGAGCCTTAACCACTAGACCAAACTGGCTCTCATTCCCAATATTCTTGCTATTTTCCCATATAACCCTGAGAAGAAAATGATGAAACAGCCCTCCCCATATCATACCATTTAAGCACGGAGCTAGAAAAGTAATTTCCAGTATGTCATGATTCCTTATGGCTTCCCACTTTTTCTTTTGAATACTGGATTTGGTGGCCCTATTAGCAAGGCAATGAATTGAGGCCAGCATACCTAGGAATTGGTAAGTGAATAATTCTATCAGTACAGTTTACGGACAGTAAACTATTGGAAGAATTCTTAGGGCATTTTTAAACAGTGAAACACTTATCCAAAATACAAAAAAACTTTTTTTTTAATTCAGAATATAATTGTGACTCAAGAGATACATAACAATATTTTTCCTCTTAACTTTGCAATAAATACTTAACTCCTCTAGGCTTTGCTATTCCTGTACGTGAAATTAGATGTTTGAAAAGGTACCTTTTTGTCAAAAGCCACATGTGCTGGGATGAAATCAGAAGGTGGGGCTTGTTTGGGTTCACCATAAGTTAAGGTGGGTCTCTTGTTAGATAGTTCATCAAGTTCAGCTTGAGATAGCTGGTTTACATAAAGCCGGTTTCCACCTATCCCCACAGTTGGAAGTTTCTTAAAGGCAAAACCATTCTTGTAACCTAGGGTCTGGGAACGATGAAAAGTAGTTTTCTATAGAACAACAACAAAAATACAGAATCAAATGTTGACCATCTAGTAACTGGTGTATTAAGGTTTCCTAGATAACACATTTATTTTTCAATTGCCTTGTCTCAAATATGCTGGTAGTTCTGGCACCAAATTTATAAATTTCATTTATAACCCTCCCATATAATAGCATAATCTAAAAAATCCATTAAGATAAAAATGATGGAATAGTCACACAATACCTGTTGATTAGTAGTGCTAGGAGTTAGGTTTGAGCAGTAATTTGGATTTAGAGAAAAGGTATGCACCACACACCTGCTGGTAATCCCTTAAAGAAACTGTGTCTTTTCTTGGATTTGCAAAGAAGCATTTGATTTGAGGTGCCATCAGACATAATGTACACCCATGCACAGTCCAGATCACCATTTCCCTTTGGATCCAGATCACACTGTTAGAAGTTGTCTACCTGAAAACACTTCAAATGTGCTCTCTTACAGAGCAGAAGTTTCCCATTCTTTTATAAATGAGTTGGACACTAACTTATTTTCATTTCTACTATATTTGCCATATTCAACCAAGAGAGGTTATTAAACTTCAACCTGCGTAATACTTTGTTTTTTGTTAAGATGTGGATTTTTTAAACCATTTTTGTTATGTGCAGAGTGTACACATGAAAACTATGTTTGTTTATTTTCCAAACATTCTTGGAAATGTAGCAATCAGGTTGGATCATTTTTCTATGTTTGGTGGCAATGTTGCAAAGCTCAACAATTTTGGAAAATTATTTAGAATAGAATGAAACAAATTCTGAAAGTTGAATTTCATTTCCTACCTTAAATATTACTAAACTTTATATCCCCATAAAGTATATCAAACTAGCTGTGTACATAGTAACAGCTGCAAGGATACTTTATGCATCTTATTGGAAACTATGTACAGTTCCTTCTGCTGAAAAATGGCTAATTAAGGTATGCTTTAATGTTCACAATAAGTTTGTATTTCAAATGTAAATCTCACAGAGAATTTAACTCAACTAAGAAAACATATACGGGCTTGAACCACATCTGAAATTTGGGTTTCTCTAAACATAAAGCCTTAATATTCTAATTTTCAATTATTTGTTAAATAAGGTTAGACCTTTTAATTTTTGAACAGAAATTACTGTAATTTTTTATCTAACTTTATGATTTACACTATGCTGATTATTGCCATTGATATTTATATACTGACTGGATTTTAACTATGACCTGCCGATCTTAAAATATAGGATATTTAGTTACAAAAAACTAATATGATATTGAAAATTCTTATTTAACCAATTTAATTCTGTTTAAATCTATGATGCTTGTAAATTCCCTGATTACAGTGGGGCAAAAAAGTATTTAGTCAGCCACCAATTGTGCAAGTTCTCCCACTTAAAAAGATGAGAGAGGC